AATCGGGTCTTTGTATTTGGGGGGACTGATTGTTTTGAGTTCTTTATATATCCTTGATAAGACACAAAAACAAATGGAGATGTACTCAGCTACCTCATCGCTGACAAAGGAGCTGACCATCCTCAGTGGAGGCAAGATAGCCTCTTTAATAAATGGTGTTGGAAAAACTGGATGTCAACCTGCCACAGATTCAAATTAGACCCTTATCTTTCGCCATGCACTAAATTAAAATCCAAATGGATTAAAAATCTAAATATTAAAACAGAAACATTAAACTTGCTGGAAGGTAAGTTAGGCAGAACTCTGGAAGACATTGGTATAGGAAAAGATTTTATGAACAAATCCTCAGTAGCACGGGAACTAGCAGATAGAATCAACAACTGGGATCTCATCTTACTAAAAAGCTTCTGTACTTCAAAAGAAACCATCAGCAGAACTAAGAGACAATCTACAATGTGGGAAAAAATTTTTACCAGCTGTCCATCATTTTGAAATTGAAGACTGAAACTTAGGGTATGTTACTTTTATCTTATGCTGTACATGCTAAACAGAGTGCCACTGAGCCACACCAACAACCTCCTGGAATCTTTTTCCTTTATTTTTTTCTGGAATTTTTCTCCTTTGATTTTGGTAGTTTCATTTATAGTTGCTTACATTTGTATGGGAGATGTTCATTATAGATAGAATGTGTCTGTATGTATTTTTTTTTCTTTTGTTTTTACATTGTTCCTTAGTGTTTACATATTCAAGAGTACCAAAGCTATGTGGCTCCAGGGAAATTAATAAAGGCTGGAGAGAGGTTCTAAAGTATGCAAATTTTTTCCTGAGAAGGCTTAAAATGAAAATTATATGAGAATTACTGGACATACTCTTCTTCTACACACAAACCTCAACTTATGCAATCATTTTCACCCCTGAAAAATAAAAAAATGAGTTCAGAATAAAGACAGCAAAGTGGGTAGATTAAAGTGAAACCAAGTATTTTTTTAACCTAACATCTGAAAAATTGATGCAGAAAAATATAGATATTCTATGAATTATATTCAATGTATTTAAAATATCATTATAGTTAATAGGGTGAAAGATTTAAAATTTTGTGTAAGAGGCTGACTTTTTCAAATAAAACATTTATTTTTGCTTAGCAAAATAATTAGGTGTGGTGGCTGAGGCAAGGGGATTGCTGGGAATTCCAGACCAGCCTGGGCTACATAGTGAGTTCAAGGCCAGCCTGAACTACACAGTGAGACCCTGTCTCAAAAAACTAAATAAATAAATAAAATAAGATAGCAGTCATTTTATTTTTAGACAAAAAAAAAGGGGAGCGTAAAAGAGGAACTCATCTGGGTTGGGGACTTAGAATAGTGGTCTGCCACCTGCCTTGCAAGCACAAGGGCCTAAGTTCAATCTGGGTACCAAAAAAAGAGGAACTCATCTGAAATGGTAAAAATTAAGATCAGGTTTCACTGACCACTATCTCCTGTATCACCCATTGTTATGCTGTTTGCTCAGCATGGTATGGCACCTGCTAACATACTAATCAAAAGTTTTCTAAATGGACTGATGGAGAAAAGGAGGGAAGATGTGAGGGAAAGAGGAATGAAAGATAATCATAAATATTATTTAGTTATTTTAAAACTTTATTTTGTATAACACTTAAGAAAGTTACTTAGCCCAAACCCACGAATTGTAATTTGTTAGCTCTAGGATGTGTCCAGACTCTATACTCTAACAAACACCCTAAAGAACACTTAGGCAATTGATCTATGGTCTCTAGAATACCATTCCCAAACCTGGTACCACACCATGTGTGGTGCAATTTTTTAAAAAATCTTTACCTGTAAAATTAAGTAAAAAGATAAATAGAAATAATGTTACTAAGTAGTAGGATTTTTTTGGAGCTTCAATAAACTTTTAAATTCTCATGAGTGAGAAAATAACCATACCACATATTTTAAAAGTATTGGAGTGTAATCATTTCCACAGTGTTTAATCTACCAATATGTATATTCCTAAAAACCTTTAGACAAAAAAACTAGAGAAAAGAGTAAGATGAAAGGAACTGAACTAAACTAGGAAAATTAAGAGCTTCCTTATAATTCCAGTATAGAAAAGCAAACAAGGAAAAGAGGCTAAAAACAGAAAAACAAAATATTTTTTTTAAATGAATTACGGACATACTGTTATTGGCTACAATATTACTATGATATACATAATTCCCCTCCATATTATAACTCTAAATTTAAAGATAATACTGGTCAAAGGATTTCTTTAACAATGAAAATACTGTCAACATACTGTTTCAAAAGAAGATAATCTTAACAGACCAACACATGAAATAATAAGAGCTTTTCTAATAATAGAGTTTTTCTCTAGGAACTTAAAAATAGTTGATATTTGCATCAAACAGTTACACAAAATATTTTAAAAACAGAAACTAGCAGGCTGACTTTAAAAGGGAAAATTATCTCTAGTTCCTTTATAAACCATATGAATTTTAAAGTTAAAGTAGAAAAAAATTTTTTTCCTTCATTGAGTTTATTGGTACATTTTAGGTATAAAGTACAGTTACATTCATCACTGGGATCTTGTACCTTTTCATGACAGGTCTTGGTTTTCATTTTTTCCCCATACTTCTGCCCTCCTTTCGCCTCCCCCCCCCCGTTCCTATTTACAAAACCTTTATTTCCATTTTTTCATTTTCTCATATTTTTTTCTTTTTCCTTATTTCCTTTCCCCCAGGGAAAGAAAAAATGTTTTAAACCATGGGGATTACCAGTAAGGTATTTAATTGTGCTCTATTTAGAACACTTAAACTATGAATTTCAAGTATCAAAAGGTTAGAAATTCCGAGATTTATCAATTTCAGTGAACCTCTAATACAGAATTGAATGAGGTAATCTAAGTGATTTATCTTAAATAAGACTATTAGTTGATAAAAAAAAATTAGGGGTTATTATGTATTTTTAAAACACAGAACCTTTTGAGAAAATTGTAACTTTAAGGGAAAAAATGAAATAGGTAAAAAACAAACGATGATGACAACTAACCCTAAAAATATCCTTATATCTTCCTCAAAGAGATCTAGATTTTGAAAAATATTTGCCTTGGCTGAGGTGGAAAAGTAAAAAAATCTCCTCTAAGATTTCATAACTGCAAGCCAGACATTTTAAATTTAAAGCAGAAATTTATACACCGATCTAATGAAAACCCCAATCTTTTATTTAAAATAATCTCAAATTGATAGAATCCCAAGCACCTGTTAACAACAAACACAAGTGCTTTCTGGAAGAAACATTTAAACCTTGGCCTCAAAGAATTTTCAGTGAAATAGAAATTTGGAAAAACACTTCCAGACATTTTCCAGAAGAAATACTGCTTATCAAAAAATGTTCAAAATCTTCAGTACTGAAGGAAAAGCAAAATAAATTGACAATATACTTTACTTCCTTGCATTTCTTTGAAAAGCATTTAAGTACTATTTGTGAAACAACAGAAACATTACCCACTGCAAGCCTAAGTGTAAATGGGGATGTGAAACATGTGACATTATCCAGCAAATAAAGATGCAGACAGCCTAAAAGTCAGAAAATCTATACTTAGTATAGACTAACTTCTTGTTACCTTGCCCCAGGAGACATTTACAAGAATATCCAAAACAAAGTTAGTAATAACAAAACAGAAACTAATTGCCCATGAGGCCAGCTATGTAGCTCAGTGGTACCACTCCTGCCTGGCAAGCACAAGATCCTGAGTTTGATCTCTGATACCAAAGGAAGAAAAAAACAAAAAGACAAAGGAATTGCCCATCAACAGAATAAAGGAAAAACTTGATAATGATCTACTCTTTCATTAGAAAACTAAACTTTTGTGAAAATAAATGAGCTACAATTACATGCATGTTGAATCCAATCAATATAACTGGTCAAAATATCAAATTACAGAAGAAATGTTTGACTCCTTTCATACAAAATTCAAACTTCCAAAACTGTATTATTTATGGTTACACAGATATGAAATGTAATCATAAAACAAAAGATTAATGAGTGAGAGACATATGGCTGAGGTTAAGAGGTGACCTCAGAATTACACAGCTGGGGAAAAAACAGGCTTTGGGAATGTTCTCTCTTTTAAGCAGAGTGGTAGGTATTCTGGGTGCTCATTATTATTATGCTTTCAATTGAACATATAAACCACAAACTCTCAGGGAAAAACAGTATATTTATAATTTAGAAAAATAAATTCTTAGAAATAACCAATACGAAAACAAATTATTGTACATTTGAGTCCTGAATATATGTTTACCCTCTGTTTTCCCAACCTCTCAAATTTGTAGTTAGAATGTTATTATCATTATTAAAAATAAGTAAATTACCGTGTTTCTTATTGGAATCTTCTTGGGTTCTGGTGGTACATCCTGTGGAACAAATTTCACTGGTTCTTTAATCTGCCTCCGTGATCGTTTAGTCCCATCTGGTAAGGTTTCCATGGCCATGTCTGCTTCCATGTCACTGCTCCCTGCCTGGTCACATTCTGAGCACTGCCTGCATAAATTTGAAAAAGAAAAGGTAAGGTCATATACTTATTATCTTCCAGCTTTATAGAAGCTATAGTTTCTATAACTACCAAATACATAAATGTCTCCACTCAGAATGAGGACCATGGTATTCCTGTAATTATCATAAGAATTCATGCAACAATGCTGCATGTGTGCTTAAACTAAAACAATATAAACAATATAGCACTAATTTAAAAGGTAGCTCCCTTTGGAAATTATGACTTTTCCTTAAGTGACACAAAACTATGGCATTTGAAAATTACAACCCTTCATGGATCCTGACTCTATTCCTTGTCAAACTTAACATATATTTCTGATAATTTAACAAGCTATGCTAAAAACACCAATGAAAGAAAACTCTAAAGAAATTCCAGAAGAAAAAAAAAAGAAAGAAAGAAACTCCAGGAATGGTGAAAAATTGGTGACTTTAGTTGATCATCCATGTTACTCCTAAAAGAAAAACTGTAAATTTACCTACTAAAGGAAGTTGTAATAGCAGAGTTTATGAAGCACGTTTAACATGTGTAACATGAGACAATTACTGAATTTGAAGCTTCAGATTAGACTGAGCTATACTCTAGAACTTTCTGTTATAATTGCATGAGCAATTGCATGAGCCAGATATCGCTAATAAGCACTTAAAATGTGACCCAGTGCAAATGAGAGCTTCAATTTAATTAAGTTAAATAGCTACATGGGTCTAATCTAGTGGCTAAAATTTGAACACAGAAAGCTAGGCAATGACTACTTAAAATCTTTATACTGCCAATTGAAAGCCCATTTCAAAAATGTACAACCAGTTGTTAAAAATTTTACTCATATATTTTCTTCAAATTTAAAACAGTAATCAATCTACTGGGCCAGGGATAGCTCAGTGGTTCCGCTGACTGTCTGGTAAGTACAAGGTCCCAAGTTCGATCCTGGTACCAAAAAAAAAAAAAACACAAAAAAAAACCCAAGGTTACTTCTAAAAAACAATAATCAGATCAAAGAAATTTTCCAAATCTTACTTGTAATAGTATTCTCTTTATGAACATTATACTGTAAATACATAAAATATATGTGTTTATGTTAGTATGCATGAATATGACATGTTTCAAATATTTTTAAATTATTATTATCATATAATTCATGCCCCATCAAAATGTATACCTTTCATCCATTAATACTGTAAGCTTAATATCAGGCTAATGTTCAGTTTGAAAAGTGAAAGTTTTCAATTCTGAACTCTTAACAGTCAACTACAAAGTACCATTTGCTTTGTTAATGCGAGGACACTAAGTATTAAAATGCAAATTAACATTTAATATACTAATTTAAATCTTTTTAGTGGTAGCATTAGGGTTAAATTATTGGGAATTTACAAACAAATTCTGATGAGATTATGGTAGAAACAGCATTACTTTTCTAAAATGTAAGAAATTATCAGCTATTTGAGCTACTCTAATAAATCAACTCCATACTACTTACTTATGTCCTACTAGACTTGCCTTAGAATTTAAGGCATATGCAGATAACATTTTAATAATAACAAAACCACAAATAACATAAACTGAGATAAAATATATTTTAAATACTAGGAAAATTAATGCAAAAAGAAAAAAAACAGAACCTAGATCACAGTCATTAGCCCCCTACCTCTGACAAATTCCTCAACCACTTGATCCTCATTTGCTTTGCAAACTATCTCTAGCCCAACTTCAGAAGCCCTCTTCTCTAGAGCAGCTGAATACCATTTGAGAAAAACAAAATTAATGCAACACTAATTCACTGAACACTGCAGCTGTACAGACTCAGTGATTAACTTACTGCTGATACTTTTCTCACAGTTGCTCTCAAACACTATTTGTTCTCTTCTGAACCCCTCATTATCTTCCCAGGTCAAACTACTTCTATTTCACTGAAAAGTCTGAGCCTAAATGATGTGAACTCACTCTACCTCCTTACCCTCCATTAATAATTACATCTGTTATCTTTATCCACGTCTTGGTTCCTGTCACATGTTTCAAATCAGGCCAGATGAGCCCAGTGATTACTGTGGGATGAACTGAATAGGAAGCATCAAGATCTAGAGCTAGTATCTTCATGAAATCAGAGCTGGTACTGGAAGAAAAGGCTAGATAGCAAGTGCTTTAAAGAGAGTCTTTAGAGAAAATGTGAAATCTGAAAAGTAAGGTGACGTGTTATAATAATTCTATCTAACTAAAGTTAGCAGAATGAAGATTTAGTAAAAAGAATCTTAGCATAGTCTTGCAGAGCATAAAGACAGCAAAAGCTGAAACTGGTAACACTCAAAAATGTATACTAGCAGTATTTGCAGGAAGTTAAGGCAAAGATTAGAGTTAGAGACACAGTCAACAAATAAGGGATGAGCAACAGAATCCTAATAAAGAATTAGCAAGAACTACTTAGGGACTACAACAGTCAATGAATGATATACTAGTAAATATCTGACCACCAGTTCTCTGGAGGAAAATCCCTAATTTGTGGCATCTGCCAACTTCCAAGTAGGAGTATTCCCAACCATGGCAATTTCACACTATAAAAATGACATCATAGAATGTAGAATGGGGAAAAGATGAATAGTAACACCATTATACAGTTTCTCTACAATATATATTTAACAAACTTAACCTCAAGAGTACAGATACAGCTTAAGAGATTATATATATTTAACAATGTGTTTGAGAACCACCTTTTAAACATCACAACTTAAGGATTTGGATATTGCTTGCTCTTTTCTAAAACTGGAACGGTATTTTGAAAAAAAAAAATATTCATTTTATTCCATTTTTTTTTTATATCCTATACTCTCCTTCCTATAAGAAAATAGTCTATTAAAATTTGAAAACCTGCTTTTCCCCTGGACTAAAACTCATTATAAAACTCATTATCAAAAGCTTCTATTAAACATTTGTAGGGCTTCAATATGTTTACATTAATGAAAAAATGATTCATGTATTTATGAAATAGTTCTAAATTTTCAAAGAATGGTTGCATTCTTTAATTAAATATAATTTAAATATCTGGAGTACAAATGAAAACAGAAGTAAAACCTTTGGTGGCACTGACTCAGAAATAAGATATTAATTCCAACTAAAAACATGAAAATTGAGGCAAATTTTCATAAATTCACATAATTTGATAAATTTATGCAAAATAAAAATAAAGCATCTGAGAAATTCTTAACAATAAAACAAAAATTATAAACATATCAGATTCATGCCATAAGTAACAATTCACTAAGATATCAAAATAGCCAAAATTAATTGAAATTCATTTTTTTCAAAAAAAGTTTTATGTAACAGCACAGCAAATTTATGAAAGTATTAATTTAAAAATGTCTGAAATACTTTATCATCATTCAATATAATGTAATACTTCCTCTTATAGAGGTGAAATGAAAAGTAAACTGGTTCTAACATTCCCTTTCATTTTACTTACCAATAACTGTTTTTGGTCTTTCTTGGCATCCTTGTAAGTGGAGGATCCAGACATCCAAGATGATAGTGGAGTTTACAGGTATCACATAATAAAAGAAGGTGTTGATCATGGTTCTTCTTACAAATTCCACAACTTTGAATAAAGGCAGCAAATAAGGTTAGACAAAATGTAATACTGACACGCAATTTGTATTCAACATTTTAAATTTTAAAATTTTAATCTCAGTTAACATTTCTTTGTTATGATGAATTTTGCTTATAAAACAGATCTTTTTACAGTATCAGTAACTATTAGTTATATATACCTTCGAAAGTGTTAAAAGATGGTTTGGATTTAGTACAAATTTAAATGTTAATAAGAGTCAAACCTTTCAAAGAAGGGCATATGTAAGCTATTTATTATCAATATCATCTTAATTTTAATTATTAATTAAACGCTATTTAAAGTTAAATTTTACTATAGAAACATAATTTATCTGAAGCAGTTTTCATTTTTCTAAAACTTCTCTAAAAACTACAAAAGAAATTACTTCAGAAATGAAATTCAGCTTATTTTCTGCTGTTAATTATACTCTCCAAATAATCTTTAACACAAAAATAAGATAAATATATAAATAAGTCTCTTTGCAAAATCAGATTTTAAGCCTTTAAAATATGTTAACTGATATTTGAAAATATTGGGAAATTTCACAATCGTTGCTTATTTTAACTTTGGTTTGTTTTTTTAATGTAACTTTTTTGTTGAAAAGACAATCTAGTGATTGAAAACAAGAGCAACATGACCTAAATACTTAATGTATATTTATATATCTACGTTGGCAATGTACAGAATGAGAGAAAAAGCTGTTGGGAACCTAGAAAAACTATTCATATACAAAAAGCAAAACAACAATGATGCTTAGATTTATTTTTAATATCCGTAGAAAAACAAAACAACTAGTATCTGATCTCAGAGTAAAACAGAAAAATTACTGAGAATATACTCTGAAACAAAAATGAATTGTAGTCATAAAAGTCAGGAGTACAGTGATATACCTGATTATTTCAAATAAACCAACTTTGTTTGGGAAAGCAGTATTGATGTCATACTAATATTAACATCATGCATTAAGACAGCAGTAGTGGGCTTTTCCTATAGTCCATGGAACTTATTTGCTATTATCTGTGGAAAGATTCTCCAATAAAGCATGGGAAGTAGTTAAGACTGATATCAATATCATCATAATAACTGTTATTTCTAAGAAAGAAATTAGTTTTGGAAAGAATGTGTGCATATGTGTATGTGTGTTTGTGTACACACACAACTGCATTTTCTAAACTCAATATAATCAATGTAATTACATAAAAAGTGATACCGACTTTAAATTTAGATGAGTAAGTTTTATCTAAGTAAAAGTATAATAACAGTGAACACTACACAAAAATACTGAGCACAGAAACTAAACAAAAAAATATTTCTGGACTGAGTAATTGCAAAATTATTGCAACTGAGCAAATACCCACAGACTCCAATCTGAAATCTAGCTTTATTATACACTATTTACAAAGATTCAGACTTTCTATATAATATCCTTCACTACCTAAAAACAAAGAAAATTTTGTCATTCAAGTAAAATAAAATATAACTATATAAATATAAAAAATATAAAATATAAATATATAAAAATATAAATATATTTTATTATGTTCCTTTAATTATTTAAGACAATAAGCACACTTATTTAAAGGTAACATTCCAATTCCCCAAGGAGAATTCTTTATTTCCATGGAACTTACACAAATACATGCCCAGTTATTAACAGACATAAAAAGTCATTCCTCTTATTAAAGAACAACAAAAATCTATCATTCAACCTAGAAAGTATCTTTGATAAAATGAACATCAAATCAACTTAAATTTTGATATGGACATAATTCACTCACAAATATGTTAAGTACCTTCGTCCTAATAAGTATTAGCTAAAAATAAATATATTACTTGCCTATAAAGTACTGTAGGGAGAATAGATGTCTTTTGTGTGCCTCCTTCTTTTTTACTTGGTTTTCTCTCCTTGGGTGCTCGCAAAATTGCCGGTATGTTCAACTTCTATTAATTGAACAAATTACTGTTTTAAGGATGAAATATAAATACAAAATACAAATACAATATTTTCCTCTACTTGCCACTTGAACAAGCTAAATATGCTAGGGTTATGAAGGAGAAATCTGCTTTACCAGCTATTACACTGGCAAAAGAAAATAAAAGAGGAGTTTTTGTCTACAGTTCTTCCATCAGAAGCCTATAATTACATATTTTTATCAATTTTTGGTGGTACACTAAAACATTATTAAAATTAAACTGCTTTAGTTTGAAAAGTGAAAGATGAAGACAGGTATACAAAGGTTTAAAAAAAAAGTACTCTTAACAAAAAGAATATTGAAGTCGTTTATTTTCTTCAACATCCCAGGTATACTGCTGCTCCATAGGTTAATTAAAAAAATTATCTTATTGGACCAAACTCTCCAACAAAGCAGATGAGACTCTCTTTGGGCTTCTACTAATCTTTAGTTGTTGGCTTCATAGACAGCAACCATCTATCAAAGTTATTTCTTAGTAGCCCAGTGGGCCCACATCTGTTCACCGAGCCGGAAAAATGTATCAAGCAAACAATACAAGTGAATTCTACTTCTGTTGGACATTTTACATTTGCACATGGAAATTTGCAAACCTCTGTGAAAAGTCATTTAATAAATAAAAATATCTTGTATAGTAGATAATATTTCACACTGAATAGGAGGTTCCTATGAGACAGATTTACAAATCAAGCAAACTAACTTAGGTCTTGCATGCTACATTTTCTAACTATCAAATATTAAAGAATATTATCTTCCAGCCGGGGGTTTAGTTCAATGGAGCCACAGCTTGCCTTGTAAATGCAAGAACCTGAGTTTGATCCTCAGCACCAAAAATAAAATATAAAAATAAATAAATAATTAAATCATACAATCTTCCAAACATTCATTAACAAACTATCAATAGAAACAAACGTTAGGGCCAGAGATTTAGCTCAGTGGTTCCGCCACCTGCCTTGCAAGCACAAGGTCCAGAGTTCAATCCCTGGTACCAAAAACAAACAAACAAACAAACAAACGTTAATTCTCCCAAAGGCAACTACTCCTCATTCTCACTTTTCAAAAATAAATTACTACAAGCCACCTACATTACACAGTTCACAAAATAATCTTTAAAGCTAGCATGGCACAGTACAAATCAGTACATACTTAAAATAACATAATTGCACAAATTCTGTCATGAATGTACTTCTGTCAACATCTCAAACAAGTAGAATGAAAATATCTGTCCTTTGAAAAGTTTCCTTTTCAAATAAAATGACTTTTGAAGTCAAAGAACCCTAAATGGGTATCCATCATTCCTTAAAAAAAAAGCAATTATTTGGAAAAAAACCTGTAATATATATCAATTAATGCCTTAAAAAAAGCATTCCAAAAATTCCAATATTCTTTTCAACACTAAGAGCTTTAACAGGCTAAAAGTGTTCAAAGATAAAAGACTAAAACCATCATATTTAAATTTCAAAACCTATCTTCTAACAGCTAAAAGCCAAAAAACATGAAAATTAATCTCTCTAGTTTACATTTTAAAATTTTAAGTTTTACATTCACATAAACACCTGGAACATAGCAAAATAACAAGAAAAAAAATACGGCAAAGAATCAAGAACTGCTAAATTTTTTAAAAAAGAATGCAATAGGAGAAACTCGTGTTTCAAATCTTTTTTCTTTTTTTTTCTTTTTTTTTTTTTTTAACAAACTACTGAATTTGTTTTTATTTTTGTTTTTTTGGTACCGGGGCTGGAACTCGGGCCTTTGCACTTACAAAGCAGGCAGCAGAACCACTGAGCCAAATCCCTGGCCTTTCAAATCTTTTTTCTTTAATTAATTTTATTGGTACATTTCTCATGTTTCAAATGTTAGAGCTCATCACAAATGACAGACAGGTCAAATGGGTGCAGCAAATGAAAAAAGTCTGCAAACTAGACAGTTCTCAAAACAACCAAATTAAGCTATACGTTCTCGGTAGGTGTTTCCAATGCTCTAGATGCACTTCAGGCAGAAATCAGTATCCAACCTAGAAGATTAAGCTCTGATAAAACAGAACACTTCAGGTGTGACAGAAATCTCATCTTTGAAAGTTATATAGCAGCAAGAATTAAAGAAAGCAATTGGAAAAACACTAACCTGCCCTGTAATTCTGCCCAGTAAGGCCCATATTCCTTGCCCTTCACTTCGAAGTTTTCCATTCAAGTTTTGCAGTTCTTCTAAAGATTCACACAGCTACAAAGTGAACAAGTCAAAGCATCAATAAATGCCCAAAGATATCTACAACCATATTCCATGCATTTGTAAGATATTCAAGTCACAACATGGTACACTAAGAGAATGTTATCCAAATATTTAGCAGCAGCATCAGAAAGCAAAAGCATTTTATTTTGTGCTAGTATTATTTTACTGAAGATACTTATATTTATAATTTCATTATACTTGATATACACTTTCACACATACTCTGCTAATTAACCATTGTCTCTATCAAGACGCATTTCCATCATCTACCCCAGAGAAAACTAAGAATCACAAGTTTTTGTGAGTTGGCCCACAAGACAGAACTACATGAAATCTCTAGGTTTCTGAATCTAACTGCACTTTGCACTACTGAAATTTCCTACCAATTTTTTTTGTCACTGAAAATATTTTTTAACAATAGGTCAATACTATTTTTAATACATATGACACTTAATACCTGGTATTTTAGTCATATCTTGCTTTTATGTGATTTTTTAAAATCTCTCATCATTAGAATTAAGAGGTAACACTGAAATTTAAATTGGGAAGAATATATTTATATTAAGGGTAACATCATAATTTGGGATAAAAACAGTAATGGAAAAATAAGTTTTTTTAAATGTCTATAAACTGAAAAAGACGAGCTCTATAATATTGTGTGTAAGTTAGAATAAAAACTTGAGTCAAATGTCTTAGCCTCAAACTCCAGTTCTGTGACTTAACTACATGTGAGTCTGGGCAAATTACAGTCTTCAGGACTGAGTTTCTTCCCTTGAAAATGGATCATAATCATAAGATACACAACACAATTAAGATGAGGATTAAATAAGTTACTAGATATGAAGGCATTAGAAGTACATTCGGCACATATAAAATGTTCCATAAGAGACAGTGATGATAAAGTACAGTAAGAGAAAAGACTAAAACCTCTAGAATCTCAAAAAATAAAAATACTATAAAATCACAGAAGAAATCAAGTCCTTTTATGCTCTCTACTTTGTAGTCAACTTACCTTATTATATTCCACATGAAGCTTTTCTTGTTCATTCTCTAATTTGTCCTTTATATTCTTTTGTTCAGCCATATTTTCCTGAATCTGAATCATGCGCATATTTCTCTCTATTTAAATTAAATATCCAATTTTACTTTAGTACCAAGTAAAAGCTGATACAGAAATATATAAAGAAAGAAACTATCCATAAAGATAAACATATGGATAAATCTACATTGCTGAAAAACTTTTTAAGTATGCAGAAAAAAACATGAACCTAGAATTTTACAAAAACCTACAACTTAGGAAAATAACATACTTTCTTTGACACGTGTAACTTGGCTAATGAATTTCTAAAAATTAACAATATATCAATTTTTCATTAGCAAATTGTTTTCATTGAAAATGTGCATGTAGCAGTATCTATACTGACCAAAATAATAATTCACAAAATCAGCAGTGAGAGCTGGTTGCTTATGTTTTCTCCTTCCATCCACACTAGAGCTAGTATCTGAATTGTCCACTGGAAAGATATCTGTACTGATCCCCATTAGTTCTGCTTTCCGCATCAGTTTACGAATAGCTGAAGCACTACTAGTGAGTGGTCTGGGCAATTTTTCCCTTGGAACCCAGGCCTGGGGTCTGGTGGATCGAGCTAGTTCTGCCTTGGCACGATACTGCTGAAGCCGGGCATTGATCCTTGCCTATAAAAGAAATGTACACAAATTTTAAAATATAATAAAATGGAACACAGACCTGATCATTTTACTTCTGTGCTCCAAAAAGTAAATATAACTAGAATCTCCTATTTGAGGCAAATTATATTTATTAATGCTCAGGGTATACTGTATAATTCTGGTTTTTTGCTTTGGTACCGGGATTGAACTCTGGACCTTGCACTTGCAAAGCAGGCACAGTGACACTGAGCTAAATCCCCGGCCCAAGGTGTACTGTGTAATTCTTGAGTTTCCATAAACTAGAGCTACATCTAATAACAACTGTCTCAGTTTATGATCAGCATTGTAAGAAACTAATTTTACTAAGTTAAACTTTTCTTTTCCCAGTAAATACAATCGTCTCCACACATTTACTTAATATACATAGGAAACCATTTTAAAAGACAAACTTACCAAATTCTCTGCATAAATGAACATTTGAATGAAAATATCTAGTCAACATATTGTATTAATATGTGAAAATATACTTTATAAATAGATGCTCTATTGACTACCTAAGGAGGAACATTCAACTACATACTCTGCTCATCACTTACCTCAATTATAAATCACTTCTTAGATAACTAAGTTAATTTCATAATTATACTTCACATGTTATTGCAAACACATAAGATCAATTATCTATAATCTTAAAAGAAAAAACATGACTCCCACACCTGTGCTTCTGGTGAGAGCTGCTTCTCTCTCTCTTGTAAAGACATCTTACAGTAGGACTGCAGAGCCAGGTAGTTTTTTCTCTTCCACTTTCTGTCCAAACGATCTGCATGTTGCTTACAATAAGCAAAAAATGGATCTGCTATATCCTATATCAAAAAAAAAGAGAGAGGATGAACATTTTAACTCCAATATGTCATTAAAAATATTAACACCAAAGAAAAGAATTCTTTTTTTGAAAAAAACTCCTAGTTCTAGTTAATTTCATAATAAATTGTATAAGTGATTTTTGTACATTATGATAAAGAGTTCTGCATTAGAAATGATCCAGTATATCAAATACAAACTTCAAATTAGTAATTTTTTTTACTTTAAAGGAGCTGCGGGTATAGCTTAGTAGCAGAGAAACTGCTTATTTAGCATGCCTAAAACCCTAGGTTGATCCCCAGCACTGCAAAGAGATAAAACAAAATAAAGAACCTCCTAGATTTAAAAATACTGAAAGCCAACCTTATGTCTTACTTGGAAATATCTGTGTGTGTGTGTGTGTGTGTGTGTGTGTATACACATACATGTGTGTGTACATATATATGTATGTAGCAGAGAAACTGCTTATTTAGCATGCCTAAAACCCTAGGTTGATCCCCAGCACTGCAAAGAGATAAAACAAAATAAAGAACCTCCTAGATTTAAAAATACTGAAAGCCAACCTTATGTCTTACTTGGAAATATCTGTGTGTGTGTGTGTGTGTGTGTGTGTGTATACACATACATGTGTGTGTACATATATATGTATATATATGTGTACATATATATATGTGAATCTATCCCCTCTTGCATCCCTATTGTCTACACAGAACATAATAATCACGGCAGTCATTTCAAATATTTATCAATTCATATCTACACTATGTAAATTCACAGCTTCCCACATGACACAGAGTAAAAACCCAAGTCCTTTCCAAGCTCCCCTAGTTGGTACATGTGTCCTCCTGTTTCCTCTATGATCTTCTTCTCTCCCTGTCACCAATCTAACTTCCTAACTCTGTTACAATAGCCACACTGTCTCCTTGTTCTTACCTCAGGAACTTTGCATATTCTACTCCTTCTGAGTCTAAAGCTCTCCCTCAAATCAACACATCATTATCACTTATTTTCATAAATGTTACCTTAAGAGAGAGCCCTTTCCTTATCTCCTCAAATAAAACAACACTATCCTTTTTTCTTTACTCTCTACTTTATCCTACTTTAAAACACCTACTTTAAAGGTAGGTGGGCATAGTGGTGTGCACCAGTAATCCCAGCAATGGGGAGGCTGAGACAGGAGGTTCATTTTAAGTTTGAGGCCAGCTTGGGCTACACAGTGAGTTCAAGGCCAGCCTGAACTGTGTAGTAAAACCGTCTCAACCAAACAAAACAAACAAATAAACATAAAATAGCTAGAGAAAGATAATATTAAAGGTTCAGCTGGAGTTTCTCACTGTTCCAAGGAAACTTATATTTTATTTCCATCAATTCCTGTCCAAACTCAGCACTTGTGACATCTTTTGTGGTTCTGAAGTTTGCTAGTTTCCTCACTTAGGAAAACAATGCTTCTTAAAGCAATATGTAGGTATCCTGACAGATTCCTCTATCCCAACACTAGCTTAATCCTTTGCACACATACATAGGTCCTCAATCATAATGAATGACTGATTTCACTGAGTACTGTAAGCCTACCTTTAAGTACAGATGGCACTGTCTACCAAACCAAGTTTGTCACTCCACAATACAATTTAACTGGTTGTTTCATTGGAAACTCCCCCAAAATTCTATGTGTTAAAGACTTAGTCCCCACCTTGGTGCTGCTCAAAGTGGAAAAACTTTGAGAGATGGGACTTTCTAGGTCATTGAAGCAACATGGCTATGTTCCTACATGGAACTGTGAAACCCTCATCTCCTCCCTTCTGCTCCCTGACATTACATAAGCAGCTATGCTCCATCACACACTTGCATCATGACATGCCATCAGAGGCCAACGAAACAGGGCCAAACGACCAGTCATGGACTGTAAAATCCAAAACTGTAAGCCAAAATAAACCTTTTGTCCTTGTAAGTTGGTTTTCTCAGGTATTTGTTACAGTACAGAAGCTGCCTAACACAAATGGATTTTAGAACATGAATTCAAGAGTGACCAGTGTAGAGCTGGTCCCCAACTTATAATAACTTGATTTATAATTTTTCTACTTTGTGGAGGTACAAAAGCCATTCACATTCAGTAGAAACCATACTTTGAATCTTGATCCTTTCCTAGGCTAGCAATATGTGATGTAATAGTCTCAAAGTGTAAGACGCAGTGGCACTGAGCCACAGCTCCCAGCCACAGATCAGGTAAGTATTGTGTTGCTAAGCAGTAGTGTTTAGCAGGTAACATTTATTAAACACATAGTCAACTTACAATTACCTCCAGCTTATGATGTGCTTAATAGGAGGTAACCTCATAAAATGAAGAGCATCTGTATTCATGTTCTGCAAATGCTTACTGAATTGTATGTGTTGGCTAACACATAATATGGTGAATAAATATGTTAAATGAGCAACATTAAAATGTATTAATTTGCACCAGGGATTTAGCTCAGTGGTACCATGACTGCCTTGCAAGCACAAAATCCTGAGTTCAATCCTGTGTTGTTAATTTGCAAACTTTAACAACTAAAGATGAGTAACAACTACAGAATCAGAGATATTTTGATTATTTATGCTACAGTTGGTTTATTTAAGAAGTCTTGCACTTAAATCTGAAATCAAGATAACAAAGACCAAAAAAAATTAGTATTTTTGACCAATTATTGTTAATTTCCTATGCTAGTACTTGAAAAATTTAGGAGCTTTTATATATAAAAAACTTAAATGTAAATACAACATCCAGATGCCTGGTGCCCAGAAACCAAGAGAAAAATAAATTTGACAATGTATATATTTTGTCCTTTAGAGGCAAGTACCATATACAAAGCCAAGGCAGAAGCTATTTAGTATTTTTTCCTACATAAACTCTACCAATTCACATTCTCACCCACAGCATACTATTTTTAATTTTAATTTTGCCACACCCCAGCAACATTTGTTACTTTGCCTTTTTTTAACGTAGTAGCCAACCTGAAGGGTATGAGGTGGAATTTCACTGTGGTTCTACTTACCCTAAAGATCAGTGATGTTGAGCATCTCTGTCTACATATTAGTCATGTGTATATCTTCCTCTGCCTACTTTTTAAAACATGTTTCTTCATTTTTTTTTTAATTTTAGCAACTCTCTACATATTCTAGATCATAATCCTTTATCATATGTATGATTTGAAATATTTTCTCCACTCTGTAGGGTACCTTTGTATTATGCCAATTATGGCTGAAATATTTTAATAATCTTTTTTTTTCAGTGCCAGGGATTGAACCCAGAACCTTGTGCATGATAGACAAGCATTCTACCACTCAGCTTTATCCCAGTTCTATTTTATCAATCCTTAAACAACTCATATATATTTTATGCAGGAAAGGTATCTAGAATCATGATAAATTAAATATAAATTTATATTAACCATTTATTGTACTTCGTATTATATTTCTCATAAAATCATTTTAAATATATAGCAGTATTTTTAACCCATCATAAAAATATATTTTATTCACCTTTACATTTAAAAAAACTAGCACCAAGCACAAGGTCTGAGTTCAATCCCTAGTACAGAAAAAAAAAAAGAAAAAAAAAAAAACTAGCACTAATCTAGCTAAGAACAAATAAGACTTTATCCGAACAAAATTAGCCTTAAGTACATTTCACAAAAATGTCGGGTATCAGACTTACTAAAAGCCAACATAGTATTTTTTCATACAAAATATGCATGATTCAATAATTGCACAACACCTTATCCAATTTTACCTCGCACTTTTTTTTCTGCCCTCCCTTCATCCCCTCCTCCCCTCCCCATTAACAAACGCTTTATTTCCATCTTTTCATTTTCTCACATTTTTTTCTTTTTCCTTATTACCTTTCCCCTACCCATCCATTTTCCTTACACCTTTAGCCCCTTGCTTCCCATTTCACAATGTCAATTATCTCATTAGGATTTTATGTACTATTACAGTTTATTCACACTACAGAATTTTTTTTTTTTATTTGAGACAGTGTCTTACTATATAATTCAAGCCAGCCTTGAACTCACTGTGTAGCCCAGGCTGGCCTTGAACTCTAGGTGATCATCCTGCCTCAGCCTCCTGAGTGCTGGGATTACACGTCTGCACCATTATGCCCACTACTTTGCACTTTTTAACTGCATCTTTCGGAGAAAAAAAGAGTGAGCCATGTTAGTTTATTCTGCAACAGAAGCTTGTCTTACCCAATGGTCTACCTAGAATAGTAGTCACATTCTGCTTTTCACACATTTCACAGTAATTCACCTACAATTATTATTTTATTCTGTATTTTCTTAATTTACTGGTACCATTTCAAATTTATTACTATAAATTGAGGGTTACTATGCAGATGCAAAGAAGGGCTTATGGCAGACATCCCAATTCAGAACAGAATTCACAAGATTCACAGAATTTCAGAACAACAGTATAATGTCTATATTAAAACAGAGCTGACATGTTTTTATCCAAATGGCTACTTATTAAATTATTTTTAAAAGAATTAAGTGGTTTAATAAAATGTACACACGCAAGATGATTTAATTAGTATGTACTTATAAATTTTTTTTTTAAATAGCAAGTACAATCGGTGGTTGTTCATGTAATTAATACATGTCTGGAAAGAATAAAAAATGGAATGAGAAAAAAAGGACAATCAGAAAAAAATAAGAGGAAATCAGATATATAGAACATTCCTTAAAGTTTGTGTAGGGCTATATAGTCAATATGGAGTTGTAATGATGAAAGGTAAAGCAATTATCATTCAGTCTCTGGAATCTACTTTCTCAATGAAAAAAATGTTCTTTTTTTGAATAACAAGCTAAAGCTAAATTAGTGTTTAGAGTTTAAACAGGTAATCCATTCTGATGTAAAATATATCATACATCAAAAACTGTAAAGTATCCTTGACTCAATATTGCTCTAATTTTTTACTTGTCTCTCTAAGAAATACAAAGTGAATGGGCTCTCCTGACTGTGAATTAAG